CTGACATTCAAGATCAGGAACAGTGCTTTCGGGCAATCTTAATAACAAAAAGTAATTCTTAAAACAACTAAAACTAGCGTTGTAAAAGAGAGAAATATTTGAATGTTCGTACAAATATCTAACGAATTGTAACGTATTCATAGTTTAAAAATAGCTTTGACTTATAGAATTGTAAAAAATGTACAATCACAAATTACGCGGGTGAATATCATCTTAATCAATTAAAACTTCTCGGCTCTTTTCGTAAAGCTTCGGCTTATTGTGATTGGAATTAAACGATTTGTTATTAGACTTTCTGGAAAATAAAGTAAGGATGTTGACTCTAGGACAAAGAGAAATTTAGGACAGTCGACGATCAATCAATTTCTACCATAAGTAACGGTCTCGATAATTTATTAACATCAGTGTTAAACAACATTTTTATTGGGAACAAAATATCTCCAAATTAATAAGAACTAACAACCCTTATGGAAATTCTAAATTTAGAGTGATTTGGTTTGTTTCAGACTTATTTCTCATACCAGGGGTAACACACTCGTTCAGGAAGCGAGAGGACTGAGGTTCAAATCCCAGTCAAGACAACTTTTTTTACGTGTCTTTTTAGCGATTTTAACATTCTTTCTTAAGGAATTTGCCATGATATGCAATGACAAAGTATGACTGTCACAAAAAATGTACATAAATGATTTCATAATTCAAGTAAGAAACTCTGGTTTTGCAAAATTCCGTATGTATCAAACTCAAACTGTTATAGCAAAAAATGTAAACGCAGTCGTTGCAAAAAGGTACCCTGCAAGATGAATTATAGTATATCAAAATAAACTTATACAGGAAAATACATACATACATACAGTACGGATAAGAAAATACCGCAGAGCTTGCAGCCCATTGATTTGTTTAATTGGTAACTTGATATTATTAAAGATGGTAAATTAATTGGTAACTCAATATTATTAAAGATGGTACGAAAAGCATGCAATACATTTTTGACTGCGATACCAGTTTCCATTTTTAAATAATGTGATACCTAAATATTTAAATGACTTAACAACTTCTTAGGTTGTATCTTCAATATAAAAGTTATGTTGAGAGTGACGTCCTTTTTCAAATATTAATATCTCAGTTTTTGTAGTATTGATTGTAAGATCCCACTCCCCAAAATACGTTACAAGATTATTAATCATAGACTGTAAGCTTCCGCATAAACTACTTGGTCATCAGCATACAATAGAAAAAAGTATTTTACTTCATTGATTGTGAATTTGTATTAATATTGTGTGTGACGTCATTAACGAAGTACATAAATAGCAAGGGGTAACTCAGGTCCCCTTGTTTTTATCCAATGTAAGTTTGATGATTCTCAATTGAACTTTACACAAGACATAACAACAGTATACATTGCCTTTACGGCCCGTACAAATTTACTACTAACTGTTTGTCTGTTGAAAGTTTTTAAAATAATTATGTTTAATTAATTCTATCAAAACATCTAATCAACAGAACAGCAATAAAGTTTTTTTCCCCCAAGTCTAAAACTTTACTTAAAACAGAATGTAGGACAAAAATACAATCAATTATTGACACCCTTTGGAATTGATTTTTGTAAAGTGTATCATATTTATTGACAAATGCCTCGATAATTCTTATCAACATTTACATCCCCTTTTTGTATTTTCTGATCGCAGATCAGAAAATTCAATGCTGACATTCAATCTCGGACACAGAAGCTTCACGACAAACCTAATAACAAGTTGTTCTCAATACAGCTTAAAACTAGCGATGTAAAAGGAAGAAATATTTTTATTTTGTTATAAGTATCAAACAAATTACAACGCATTCAAAGTTTAAAAGTAGCGTTGGCTTATAGAATTGTCAATTCACCAATTACGCGGATGAATATGAAAATGCTATTTTTAGCGATGTCGATTACCGAATACTGTACCTCTGTCGAGTAGTGGAATATATACATATATACATGTCGGACATAAATCAGGATTACCATGGAGCTAAATATAAGATTTACATATCTGTGGGACTACAAACCCTGCAATTAGAATTATATGATTTTATTCAGGCTGATTTCGTTAAACATCTCCGTGGTGCAGGGCTAACGCGCTTGTTTAGGGTGTGAGAGGTCTGGGGTTCAAATCCCAGTCGAGGCAACTTTTTTTATTAAGGAAGTAGCCACGATATGCAAGGATAAAGTGTGGATGTCAAAAACAATAACATAAATGAATTTTGATGCAACTCTAGTCATGCAAAATTCCGTATCAAACTCAAAATGTTATAGTAAAAAAAATACAAACGCAGTCGCTGAATCTCGGTGCCCTGCAAGGTGAATTATAGTTTATAAAAATTAATTTATACAGCAAAATACATACAAATATACAGTACAATTTTGATTGGAAAGATCAGAAAATACCACAGAGCTTGCAGCCCTTTGATTTAAAGATAGGTGTAATTATTCCTAAACCCAAGGAACTAGGATATTCACAATTGTTAAATATTCTATTATATATTTCCAATAATAGAAATGAAATTAAATCATTGCAAGATTTAGATAATTCACTTTGAAGGTTATCTAGCCCTGGAATTTTATTACTGTTTTAGAGAAAAACTGTGGATCTAACTTCTTGTTTTGTAAAATTACCATCTAGGTCAACGTCGGACTGGTCGTTCTGCGGAATATAGTCGCTATTTTCACTACTCGGCGGATCCTCACCAAACATGCATTTAAAATGGTTAAAAAACTACGAGATTAAGAATATCAGCTTTTCATGGTGCCCTTTTAAAAGATTATTTTCGATTTCCAAAATTGTCTAGGTTGAGGTTTAGCTAAATTGCTAATTTTCTGTCCTACATATTAAATGCTTTCTGCTTCACTTTATTATACTTAGTTCTAGCACGAGTGAACAATACCCTGTTTTCAGTTGTTTTATTAAGATCAATATTATTACGTGCGCGTTCAAACTTTTTGCCGAAACGCAGTTAGCTACCAGTCTTAAGTTTGCTTGTTTTTCTAGAGTGTATGGTTACATGTTTTGTGTAAGATTTATCGAAGATTCTTTGCGCACTATCAGCCATTTATGTCGTACATTCGCTTACCACGTCATCAATTGGTGCATGAGATGTGATTAAATGCATCTTGTTTAATAGTGACCTTTGCACGAAAAAGATGGGTTTTTATGTCATCCCATACTATTTTAGAGGTCATGGTAGCTGGGTTGACCGGTGAATTCGTGCACGTGCTAACGTTGTCGTCTGCTAAGCGTAGCGAAAATTTAAACTCGATCGGCGCATGATCTTAGTGTTGATTAAATTCTGATACATGTATAATGAACTGCGACACCACAGTTTCAAAGTCTGAAAGGTTTAATAGTTAAGTTTCCTGGTTCGTTATTTAACCGGCCATTTGCAATTAGTAACCCAGTAGATAGACATATATCTACCATTGTAGTCAATAGCTGTATCTTTGTTTACTCGAGGTGGAATAGATACGTTTGTATTTAATAAATCTAATATTTGATCTAAATATTTACCAAAAACAAACAACGAAATCCTCTACACTTGAACCTACTATTTAGGGATGACGAGCAATATTCCAACAAATGTGTACGTCAAAACGAAGGGAAATTATACGTAAAATCGAAGTTTACGAGTATGTAGCAAAGATAAAAGAAAGATATCAGTATAAAGGCATACACTAGTGAACATTGTAAAATTTAAATGAAGAACAGGATGTTTTATGGATAAAAAGTCGCAATTCTGCCGCCGCCGCCGATAGGGGGCGCTTTGAAGTCATACTAACGCTCTTTCTTTACAGAATAATGCTGCTGAAGTAAAGCTTAAATATGAACATGTTTGCATACCAAAAAGTCATCAAGATCTTTGATGTTGTCAAATTTCGATAGGAAAGTAGCGAGCTAACTTAAAATTTATAGAAAAATAAGAAAACACATTTCTTTATTTCAAATGATTGGGAAATGATTGTTTTTAAATTTTGGTTGATTATAGTGTTGTTTAAAAACATCTCACTTCTAGTATTTTAAGAATTCCCCTGCATCTTGAAATGTTCGGGTATAATCCCCAATAATTAAGTTGACTCTGAACAACTTTGTAGGAGAATTTGATTTGGGAGGATGATTTTTAAATGGAATTGCAAAAAAGGGATATAATTTGCAAATAAATAATGATTGTTCATGCGCGCCACAAATGATGGGACCATCTTTATTTCTTTAAGCAGACTTGGAAGAGGAAATATAACATAAATTTTTTAGTTCCTACACTGGTAAGTGTTGTAGTAACTCTTGCTGTAACTGTGAAGTCACATAAAATAATAGATTCATGGGCATGAAATGCCATGGTTTTGTCGAAAAAGAAATTTCCATGTTTATTTAAAATCTGTGGAATGTCCTTTTATGCAAGACAATATACAATGCCAATAAGGTTGTGTACAATAACCTAACAGCAGACGAAACAAAATATCATTGGATAATGTTTTATGGACTTTCCCCGAAAAAGCATAAAAGTTAGTAATCTAAATGATTGTGAAGTAATTTCTCTTCAACCTGTATAATAAATGCTTTTCAAACAACTTCAATTATGATACATTTTTAAAGTATCTTGAGGTCAAAAACCCTAAAAACATAAAATTTGAAAATTTTACATATATCAACAGGGACACTTAAAATGGAAATATATGTAGAAATATACTCAGTCTTATACAGAAAATTGATTTTAGAGCAATTTTCAGACCGACTTGAGTTTTAATTTTTCATATTTAAGTTAAAAAATATTGAGCAATAAAAGTGATAACTATTGAAAAAGGCAGTGAACATCTTTTAACGTTCTGAAATTTTGTACATTATATTGGTATAAACCTAAATCAAATGGTATAAATATTTTGAAAAAAAGTTCTGATCCAGTCATGTCAAAGAATACCTCAGATGAGTCCCCTTAATAAGTTGTGTCATCTTAGAATAAATACTTTGATATAATACCTTTAATTTCCGCTAGTTCTGAAGATGTATTTTGTCTAAGTTCTTTAAGTTCTGAAGATGTATTGTTGATTTCTTGTCTAAGGTCTTCAATTTCTGCTTTTTGGTCCTCGAGAACATTCTTCTGTTTGTCAAAATCTGTTCGAAGTCCACGTACTATTAAAGCATTCAGATCGTTTTCTCTACAATTATCATTGTTTGCAAGCAACACATTCAAGTTGCCAATGATAACGAGTATAGAGAGCAGAAATTTCATTTTTCAATAAAATTTGATTTAAAATATCCGCATATAATCAACGAAGTCCGTTTATAAACTATTCTCACGTTAGAGTTTAATTTGTTCCTGTTTAGCAAACAGTCTGAAATATTTTAACTGAATAAAAATATATTTTGTTTACGGTACAGGTAATCAGTTTTTCCTCGTATCTCTACACAATAATTATCGTACACCTTATAAAGACAGCCCACATCATATTTTACTAAGTTTTATCAGAAGATAATATTACTGTTCTGTATCAATCGCAACTTTTCGGCCCTTTCCGTCAGTCAATAGTATGAATATTCAGAACTGATGCGGTATTTCGGTCTAACTTACGCTAAAAACCCAAACATGTAAAGAAATAATAATTAAATGCTGGGAGTTGTTGACAAATTTATTTCCAATATATGTAGTAAAAGTCCACCTAAAATAAGTTAATTCATAGGTACAAAAGCAAACAATACCTTATTTATATATTTATTATTATGGCTGTAGAAACCGATAGTAAAAAAACAACATTTTGACATTGAGTCGGATTTGTTTAAAATTAAACATCAATGGGCATATTTAAATTACCTTTCTAAGCTTCTCAATTCCTCCATCATAAACTGAAATCCAACAGGGCTTTGACTCTTCCAATAAACCAGCAGAAGCTGTCGGCAATTTGTTTACCTCTTTTCCATTGTCGGCCTCCTTGGATCATTTTTTAAAGTCTTCGCGACCTTTTTTCCTATCATTAGTCCTTAAAGAAATTTTATTCCGACTAGAATGGAATAATAAACCCAACAAGGGTCTATATCCCTTAAAATGACATAATAAATTTCTAAAATAATATGAAAGTCCAGTGATAACTTTGAAACTTTAAAACGTAATAAAATAAAAAGGCGGGAATGCCACACCCATGTAAAAAACGACTTCGAGAAACAATTTTGAAAATCAAGCGACACTACACAAAATACTAATAGCAATGGAAACTGGAAACAAGTCCCTATAAATAGCCAAGATTTATGAATATCAAATCTAAACCAATGAGAATTTTGATTTGTTGATGCTAAGAAACGAACACTAAAAATAGAACTAAAAGGTAAACAAACCAATGAAGCGTAAATAGTTATTTTAATGCTTAAAATAATTCAATTGTTGTCAGACATACGTATTTTCAAGCATAAGAGTACCGAAACAAACATTACTTTTCTTTTGGATGTCAAATATATACATTCGTTTTACATTATCACACCTGAAACCACGTGGTAAAACTACTTTCAATCCGTATTGTTTTTGAGGTTATTAGGGGGCAGGGGACCAAAAAATGAACAAATTTGTATTTCAGTGCGGCAAGAAACACAATTCCAAATATCTAAAAACTGTTTCACAGGCAGATAACCAGTTGCACAGCATTATTCAATGATATATTACATACATTGAAGAAAATGATAGTTTGCATGCATTGCTCCTTAAAAATATGACTGACAGCAATTTATATTAACCCCCACCCAGCCAAAATTACACCTCAAATATATCAATATGGACAATTTTCATCAAGGTGCAGCATACTCAAGAATCCGCCCGATTCCTTTAAAAATATCACTAACACACAGTGCAAGCAATTGCATTTTTAAAAATGACTAAGAAAGTGTCTGTCATACGTTTAGATTTTCCACAAAATTTATCCGCAATTTTCAAGATTTTCAAGATTTTATTCAAAACCAAGGCATATAATATGCATAAAGTTATGATTTATCAACAATATAATGAACAGTTATTCAAAAGTGATTAACAAAACATATATACATAAAATTATATAATAATGAGATCAATTTGACTAACACATATCATTTGACTAAACTTTAAACTTTGGACATGATTTGTCTTGTACAGAAGTTATCTAAATTTGTTATATGTTAATACATTCATAAAGTTGAGGAAATCATGACTTACATTGAACATTACAATGAACTTACATACATTGAACGCCGCCTTTCCCTGTTGATCTTGTTTATCATATTACAGGAGGATGGGTAATTTAAATTTTGAAATAATAATTTTGCAGAATAATGCAAGTTTTAATAAAGTTGAATGGTCCTTGCTATTCATTTAAGATTCTAATTTATAAATATTAGGATAATTTGAGAATTTTGAATCAATAAACTTTTTATGAAGAGAATTAAAAAAGTGACATTCAAATAAGAAGTGAAATTCATCCCCAAGAGATTGTTTTGGACATTTGGACATAAATGACATATTATTTGATTTCTTTCAATATGTAAATGTCTACCTTTCTCTTTAGGTAATAGGTGGTTTTCTTACTTGTTTGGCGCCAACTGTCGAAGTTTGATTTTTTAGCGTTTTCACCTCCATTCGGAGTCACAAATACATATAAAGCTACCAAAATGCTAAGTTTCGGGTGAAAACCCCAAAATACTTCTCAGTCCCTACACACAAACAAGGAAAAATTACAATGACAGAGAAATATCAGAAGTTTTCAGTACCTTCAAAAGTTATAAAAATATTTGACCGGGGCCATCATTAGGATATGTCCCCTGCCCCCTTATAGATAATAGCCAAGGATGTTCCGTTTGGTTCTGTATACTACCTCCTCGTATGAGATAGAAAGATTAAATGTAAAGAAGCTTTACAGCTAGCTTCAGGGAAAATTGGCGGTTCAGTTAAGGTGCCTGTTTGTAATTGAAATTATGTCCGGAGGGGGTTAAATATATGGTTCTTGAATTAATAGGGTAAAGATTTGATTTTTGAATTAAAGTAGTTAAAGAGATGAACTTATGATTCTTCTTGAATTAAAGTAGTTAAATATAAAGACATGGTTAAAATTTTAAATGGGGTAAATATATGGTTCTTGAATCAAAGATAAAGATATGCTTCTTATATGAATGGGGTAAAGTATGGTTCTTGAATGCAAGATGAATTTATGGTTCTTTAATTAATGGGGTACAGGTATTGTTCCTGAATTAAAATGGTTAGATATAAGGTTTATTAAGTAATGGGGTGCAGAAATGGTTCTTGAACTAGGGTTAAAGATGCAATTATGGTTCTTTGATTAATGGGGTACAGATATTGTTCCTGAATTAAAATGGTTAGATATAAGGTTTATTAAGTTATGGGGTGCAGAAATGGTTCTTGAACTAGGGTTTAAGATGAAATTATGGTTCTTTAAGTAATGGGTTAAAGGTGTGGTTCTTGAATTAGAAATGTTAAAGATAAGGTTCTTTAATAAATGAGGTACGGGTATGGTCCTGAATTAAAGAAGTGAAAGATAAATGTATGTTTTTTTAATTAATGGGGTACTGCAATGCTTCAAGAATTAGAATGATTAAAGATATGGTTCTTTAAAAAAAAGGGTAGAGGTAGAGTGATTGTATCAGAGGGGTTAAAAATGTAATACTTGAATTAATGGGGTACAGGAATGGTTCCTGAACGAGACGTGTTAAGGCTATTGTTCTTTAATAAATTGGGTACATAAATGGTTCCTGAACTATAGGGATTACAGGTATGGATCTTTAATTAATGGGATAAAGGTAGGGTTCTTGAGTTAGAGGGTTTACAGTACAAATGATGTTTAGATCAGGAAGTTTTAAAAAGTTATATATTATGACACTGCTACAATGAATCATAAAAATGGAGGAAAGATTTGATATAATTAATAGATATGTAAATGAATACCTGTGAGAACATTTTCCTGCTTTCAAATCCTGTATTCATATTTTTGATAATGATATTTAATATAGAAATTTTGCACTGCTGAAATGCATAATTTACAGTTAAAAAGAAAAAGAAAAAAGAAAATAAATCTATTTGGTCTAACACGGCTTGTACTTAAGTTTTCATTTTGATTTCAGAACAAAGTAGTTTTAAGAAAAATAAAACTTTTATTTCATTTTTTGAAAACACAAGGAATCATAGAAATCTGAAAACAAAGTGATCCCCCGGAAGCATTAATCTCAACAAAATAACATGAAAATTACAGTCTCGGTTTGATTGAGTCTGTACATGAGGGATTATGAATACGTGCAACATCCCACACGCCCCCGAGCACCGGCTTGAGCGGTACTCAATTCTTAACACTTTATAGTGCTGGCATCATTGATCCCGAAGGACCAGAAAAAGAAAACAACACTTAAGTGAAGTATGGGGCAAGTATAGCTGTCTTTAAAAATACTCAAATACATTTGTTCAAACCAAAGCTTATTTTTTGTGTGTTTTGTTACAGTTTCTTAAAAAAACTTAATTGCCATATAACTGAACCAAAGTTTAAATGATAAATTATTTAAATAAGAACAAAATGCCACTTTAATTTGATATTTCCAGTGCCGGCATCAAAAAGTGTTTAATCTGAGGAGGAGGGAAGGAGGTCTTTTTCGAAGACAAAATCAAATCAAATAGGTGAAGTTCTGAATGTAACTTTTGAATGATATGTTCAGTTTTGGTATAATATTGTTGTCAGGAGAATGTGCCTCAATGGCTGCCTATATTGCGGAAGAAAATAAAATATCTAGAAAAAGTGAGATCGGCATTACACCAGATGTAATCATTCATTTGAGGACCAGGGCTTTGTCATGAGTGGAAGCAGGTATATTGATATTTTTGTTTTTCTTCAGCATAACTAAAATAATTTTTATGACGAAAATCAGCAAGGAATTGTACCATTATTTATTAAGGTGACAACAGACACTTTCCGTGGTAATCACATAAATGTCATTTAAACCAACTTATTTTAGTAATAATTGTTATTTATTTAATCTTTGTGCTTTAAATGTCGTTGATCATCATAAAAAATAACATATTTGAAAAAAATGTCTTTGTAAATGATTGATTTTTAATAAAAATCCTAAAATTTTAAATCGTCATATCAAAGTCATTTTTTATTTTTTTGTCATCAAACTTTTGGAAAATAAACATACTTATAATATCTGGGGAACCGTGTCTCAAATTTTGTCTATCTTTTCTCAAAAAAATATTACGTAACGTCAAACATTTTATGCGACTTTTTTCACCATACATATTACGTAATTAAAGATAATTAAGTCGCTGATTGAGCAAACAAAAATCCCTGACACGGTTCCCTCCGTAAATGAATTCCCTTTCATGTGCTTTAAACCGCATGTTAATTGCTTGATTATTAAAAAAGTTATGCCGATTCAAAGTTAGTCCGATCCGCATCAAACGAAGTGTCATAAATTGGCTGTTCTCTCTCGGACCCC